TATTGAGTTCTCTTATTCTGAAAGGGTGTTGGCTTATGTCAAATGCCTTTTCTTCATCAGTTGAGTTGATCGTGTGGATTTTTCCCCCCTTCATTTTACTAATGTGGTATAGATTGCATTTCATATATCGAGCAGTACTTTAAACCCTGGGATAAATCCCACTTGATCATGATGCATAATCCTTTAATATGCTGCTGGATTCTGTTTGCTAGTATTTATCAAGGATTTTTGTGTCTATACTCAATGGGGGATATTGGTCTCTAGTTTTTTCTTGTGAGATCTTTGTGTAGCTTTTGTATTAGTGTAATGTTGCTCTCACAGAAATCACGTGTTCCCTCCTCTTCTACTTATTGGAAGAGTTTAAGAATTGGTGTTAGTTTTTCTTTAAATGTTTGGTAGGATTCACCTGTTTTGTAATTTGTGTGCTTGTAAGAATTTTCCCATTTCATCTACAGTATGCAATTTGTAGGTGTATAATTGTTCACAGTTTCTTATAAACTCTTTTATTTCTGTGGGGTTGGTAGTGTTGTCCCAACTTTCTTTCTGACTTTAGTTACTTGAGTCTTCTCTACTTTTTTCTTAATCAATCTAGCTAAAGGTTCATCAGTTTTTTCATTTTTTCAGAGAAACAACTTTTGGTTTGTTGATTTTCTCTATTGCTGTGTTGTTCCCTATTCTATTCATCTCGGCTCTTTTATTTTTTAGGTTGACTCTGCTCTTTTTCTGGTTCACAAAGGGCATCTTCTAACTGACTCCTGGCAATAGCTAGCCTCAGGATCACCCTCTCCAGGGTGAGCTAAAAACTTACAGACTGGAGTGGCCCAGGCCACACAGGCACTGTGCTCCCAACGTGACAGCCCAGGCCACCTCCAGGCTTGTTTCACCACTGAACCTCTTCTGGCTGGGTATGACACCTAACAGTTGACAGGCTGACCTGGACTCCTGTGGACCTTCTTACTGCCTTAGTTGCCTTCTGCTCTCTGGGAACCAGAAGGCTAGTTAAGTTTAGCTGAGGAGCACTGCCAATGGGCACAGTGCCCTGCCTGCTGCCAGATATTGCCCTCTGTATACTTCTCTCATTCCTTCACAGGTACCAGTTGTTGTCATCTGTGCCCACAGGCATCCCAGAGCACTCACCCACCCAATGGGTCTGACAACTTCAGTTCTATCTTCATGACTTACAGCACCTGCCTGTTACCCTCCCAGGGGTCTTGGCCCTGCCTCCCACCGTGTTCTCAGGCTAGATTCCATCAAGGCCAACTGAGAGTGATGGACTTACCTACCCCCTTCCCCCAGTAGAGGAGAGACCCCACTTCACATACCTTGCTCTTCACCAGGTGAGGGGCAGCTGAGTCCCACGGATGTTGTCTGGTGCCACTGCAAGTGCCAGACACCAAGGACTTTATGAGACCACAGGAGATGGGGTCAGTAGGAAGGGAATAGTTCAGAGGAGGTGAGAGGGTGATTGATTTTTTTGTATAAAAGGTAAAAAAAAGAAAAGGTTTACTATAGTTGTAAATAGCAAAAGCTGTACTGGAATATTATATTAAAATCCCATTTCTACTATAGCCTGGGAGTTGTGGTTTTGTTCTTTCATTTCTTGTGTTTAAAAAGAGATAGACACTCTCACTCTTCATTCAATAAGTCTTTAGGGCCATCAGTTTATTGTATGTGGGAGAAGTAGGAAGGGCCAGCTACCCTTCTCTGAAGGACATGCCCAAGTCCATCTTTCACAGAGACATTTGTTTCAGTATCATTAAACTGGGCAAGGAGCTGAGAAAGCCCCTCAGAACTCGGGAGCTTGGAGGTTGAAAGTACTTTCACAGGCATAGCAACAACCACTGAAAACTGGGCATCTTTAAAAGTAACTCTTGCCAGGACCATTTCCTGGCCCAGGACAATGGCTGCTTTTCTACACTCTGGCGAGAGATTTTTGCTTCTCTCGCTGAGGTATCTTTTGACCACCAATTAGGAAACTGTAGGTCAAACTCTGGAATTCTATAAGCCCCAAGTGGGGAAAATGGTAAAAAAACAAAACAAAACATGGAAAGGAAAAAGCCAGAGGAAGATTATTTGCAAACAGACTGAGGGCAGGCAGGATTTTTCATCATCCCTCCCAACCAAGGTCAGCACTTTACCTAAATTTGAATACGCCTCTGACTTCAGGATTCCTTTTCCTGCTTATTTCTTATCCAGGGGAAAGATTTGTGATGCAGAGTTTAGGCCTATAGCTGGGTGTCATTCTATAAGCATCCCTGCAATGCCCTGTATAATTGTTTTAACCCAGAAATGCCCTAGATGGCCCCCAGTCCACCATCAGGTACACTGATCAGGTACATCAGGTCACTCCTCTCTGGCTGGGGGCTGATGAATGTACTTTGGTTATGTCAAGGGGATGTCAACCTTTCATGTCAGAAGGGCTGAGAGATGCAGCCTGATAAGCAGGGGAGGAGGTGTACCACCAGGACCAACAATCCATGGGCAGCACAGACACTGCTCTACCAATTAAACACTAGAGTGCTTCCAATCTGGGTGGGAAACACACACTGCCCTGCACTCACCTGAGTGCCCTCCTGGGGCTTCTCCCAGGATTGGAAGCTAAAGGGCTAATGCCAGGCACAGGGAGGGAGCCCCTGGGACCCTATACAGCCTTCAGCCTGCACCCTGTCACCTATTTTCAGTAACATCCCCTAAATATACAGCCTATAAAGGCAAGAGACAGATGAAATGCAGGGCAATTCTGAGTTAACCCTTTCCTCTGTGACGGCTGTCACTCAGACACAGAGCAGGGCTCACCTCTGCCAAGCCCTAAGTGATTTGTGCAAGTGACTGTTGAATGCAAGTGGGAGTGCAAGAAGCGGACACAGAATAGAGCAAAATGGAGCAAATGATTGTTGAACTACAGATAGAGATTGCAAAGGAGTTGATTATAGATGGCTTAGTGGAATTTGGATGGTGCAGAATGTGCAAGGAAAGATTGATAAGTTGACAGAAATGTGCAAAAGAGTAGTTGTTTTGCAGTGAGTGTGCAAGCACTGACTGTTAAATGGCACACAGTGGCTGTATAGGAGGGGAAGCTGGAAGAATAGTGAAGAGTAGTTGATAACATGGCCCCAGGGAGTATTCAGTGACTTGCAGTGGGTGCAACAAGACTTTGTTGAATAGCACACAGTGGGTGTGTGAGAACAGAAAATTTGATGGTGAGCATGGGAGGAGCAATTGTTAAATGCTGCAAGAGTGTGCTGGAGTGAAAGTGGGATGCACATGCGAGTGTGTAAACAGTGACTGAATGGCAAAGAGGTGTGCAAAGTGTTCAGTCAAATGGAAATGACAGTCATTGGCTTTTGAATTGCACAGTGAGTGAGCAAGGAGACACTGGTCAATGTCATAAGAAGTGGGCACTGGATGAAGCAGAGTGACCAGTGAATATGCGGAGAGTGATTACAATGGTCCATTTTATGTGCCAGTGTGGTCAGGTCATGGTGCACAGTTGTTGGCTAAAATGCCAGTGTCTGGATGTTGCTGTGAACTCAACAGACTTTAAGCAGATTACCTTCCATAATGTGGGTGGGCCTCATCGAATCAGTTGAAGATCTTAAGAGCAAAGGACCTAGGTTTCCCAAAGAAGCACTTCTGCCTCTAGACTGCAACACAGAAACCCTGCCTGAGTTTCCAGCCTTCAGACTCAAGACCGCAAGGTCAACTCTTCCCTGGGTCTCCAGCCTATCCTGCAGATTTAACAATCAACAGCCCTTAACACCTCTCTTTCTACACATACTCTATTGGTTCCATTTGTCTGGAGAATCCTGAAACTCTGACTATTGGGTGTAATATAGGTGTGCAAGAAGTGGAAACTGGATAGTGCATACAAGTGTAAAGAGTCTGCAATGACAAAAAATTCTGGACAGGGCAGAATGAGTGCACAAAGAGTCGTTGAATGAAACACTGTTTGCAAAGTGACGTTAGATGGCGGATAGTGGGTGTTCAATGAGTCAAAGTAGTATGGTGCAGAACAGGTGTATGAAGTGTGGAAGAGGCCCAGGTTCCAGCTGGCCTTTTGGGCCCTACCTGGCCTGCAGGGAGACCTTGGGCAAGGCCCTCTCCCTCACTGGGTATGCAGCTGCCAGGGTGGGCTTAGTCTCTGAAGGGGAAAGGTGGTGCTGTAGCAAGCAGGAGGGGGATGAACTCACTGGTGCTTTGCCTTGCCCTACTGCCAGGAGGGCCCAAGTGGCACGTCAATGATGTACCTATGACACTTGGGGGGCCTGCATGAAGGACAGCACATGAGGCCTAGAGCCCTGACCAACAGACATCTTTGGCTCAGGATCCTGCTGGGGAGGAGGTGGGCACAGGTGGTTCTAGTGTGGGATACAGACACAGGCCTTTGGTCTTGGGGCTGCCTTGGGGCCCAGTGTCTCCACCCTACACTGAGGGTCTTGCTCCAGTGGGAGATGTGTGGACTCATGCAGGGATGTGGTGCTACTGCAGAGGGGGCCCTGCCAGACGAGCCAGCTTCCCTGCACTGCTGAGGATGGGAGGCCTGTCAGCTTGGATGCTGGCCTTTGCTGAGGGAAGGCTGGGGTGGGGGTGGGGGAGAAGAAAACCTAGCCACATGTCACCCCCACTCCTGAGTCCCCAGCACATTCCCAGCCTCCTTGCTGTGGGTCCAAATGACCAACACCTCCCCATGCACACCCCCTCACCGGATCCAGTTCCCAGTCCTGGCTGGGCCTCACAAGGACAAGGAGCCTGGACCCTCTGGACAGGCATCGGGGCCCCAGGGATGCCAACAGCCAGCCAGGACATGTCAGACCCCAAAGAGCAGGAATTGTGCCTGGGACGCCGAGGTGACAGTTCAACAGGGAGGTGACACATCCCAGGCCACAAAGGAGGACAGAGCTTTATTTCCAGAAGGGACCCTAGCACAGGGTGACTGCCTTCCACACTGGTGCCTCCAGGGTCCCCCAAGGATGTGCTGCACCCGATCCTTGCAGCACGCACTAAAGGGATGTGGTGGCAGCCACAGCCTCCTCCAGCTGCTGTAGGAGCTCCTCTGGCCGTGGTGAGAATGCACTGGTGTCCACTCTCTGGAAGTCAGGGTGGGCCACCACGGACTCCAGCACCTCAGCTATGCGGCCAATGTCAAAAGCGGCCTGCTGGGGGCCCAGCCTGGTGCCCTTGCCGCCCTCCACCTCGCCAGGACCCATCCCGTTTGCCAGGAGGAGAAGCCTCCTTTCAGCAACGACCTTGAGGAAGTGATAAAATTCCTCGAAATTAATCCCGGAGCAGGACTTCATGATGACCTGGGCCAGAAAGGAACAACCAGTGAGCTGCTGCTCACTCACAGCTCTCGGCAAGTTCTGCTGACCCTGCATCGAGTCTAGGCTACAAAGGGCCCTGAGACACAGTCCAGTCCTTGAGGATGGAGACACCTGGGGGCCAGCCAGTGATCAAATGGGTCTGAGTCATACAGCCTGGAAGCCCCAGAACCCTCACTCACATAGGTAGGCCTGGTTGCCACCAGGCCCCCAAGACTACAGATCTGACCTTAGAGACCACACTCTCCCTTAAGACTGCAGGCTGTCCTGGGGCTTTTCCATACCCTCCCCCCACTGACGCCCTGGGCCAGGTGAGCACCCTCTTGCCCTTGACTGTGGTCCTGGTTCAGGTGAGTCCCCTACCAATCCCCCCACTATAGATAGCCCTGGTGAGCCTCATCCTGTGACCCCCTCCTGCTCAGACCAGTTGTCCCACCTGGCAGTGGTGGTGCCAGTCGGGCATGCTGTCCCTCCACTCAATGATCTCCTGCTGCACGGCACAGAGCTCCTGCTGCAGGAAGTGCCACATGTTGGCCAGGTTACAGCCGTTGACCCAGTTGTGGTTGATGGAGATGGTGTCCTCCTGGAAGGGGTAGGGCACAGGCTGTCCCCGTGAGCCCACAGGGGGCACCGTCCCATCCCCGTCCTGAGGTCCTCTCAGCCTTTCTCAGCTGGGAGGAGCTGCTTCCATCTCCCAATGGGAGCCAGCAAAGAGGGAGCTGGGATCATTCGAATCCACAGTTAGCCCAGAATGGGGCTCCTTAAGGGCTGGGACAACACCACAGTGTGTGGACCCCTTGCCCACTGTTGCCCAGGAAAGCAACATGGGAGGGAGGGAAAGAGGCTGGCGTCCCATCCCCGTCCTGAGGTCCTCTCAGCCTTTCTCAGCTGGGAGGAGCTGCTTCCATCTCCCAATGGGAGCCAGCAAAGAGGGAGCTGGGATCATTCGAATCCACAGTTAGCCCAGAATGGGGCTCCTTAAGGGCTGGGACAACACCACAGTGTGTGGACCCCTTGCCCACTGTTGCCCAGGAAAGCAACAGGGGAGGGGGGGAAAGAGGCTGGGGGCCCTCAGCAGTGCTGCATGCAGGGAACCAACATAGCCACGTGCAGTACCAGCCTTGCCCATGGCCTGCCCCATCCCATACCCAGGCTCTCCCAGAGGGGCAGCCTGCCCACTCTATGGGATCAGAGCGGGTGGGCTCGGCCCTCTCTCTGCAAGAACGCATTTAGGAAGGTGCCGAGGGCAAGAAGAGCTGCTGAGCAGGCCAAGGGGCACAGGTGAACGGGGGTAAGAGTCAGCTCAGTGGAGCCCTGTGGCCTGTCTCTCTGACCCATCTGGGCCACAGCACATGGGGTAGGGAGTGCCCAGCATACCAGGTTGTGGACTTGATGGTGCCACCCACTGGGCACAAACACCATCTCGCCTGCCTCCTGTGTGACCTCCAGTGGTGGGATACAGTGATCTCGCATGGGGTGTAGGCGGCTATCCAGGAGTGTGGGGGAGGTCACGTCGTAGGGCAGGCTACCGTGGCAGTCCCGCAGGGCTTCTTCTTGCCCCGGTGGGAAGAAGAACCACTTTTTCCTCCCGCAGATGTTGACGGACCAGCTGAAGGAGCGGAAAATGTCAGCATGGAACGGCGACCTGTGCAAGAGCTTCTGTTGGTGCTGTGTGGCTTGGATGTGGGCTTTGCTTCTTCTGAGTAGGCTGGCCAGGCTCAGTGGTCCCCAGCTCTCACACCTGGCCTGTGAGCCAGGTGGGAGGGCCAAACCTCCCCCACCCCAGAACATCACACAGGAGGTGCATGAGCTCTTTCCACAGAGGAAAGAGGTAAGTGGGCTTAGAAATGCCAAACCTGGCAGCCGACTCCATTACCTGGCTAACAGGAATGTCTGAGAGGCTCTGGGCAAGAGCTGACACACCAGCAGGAAGGTTCAGGAGAGTGACCAGGGACGGGGTGTAGGATGGTGGGTGGGAGGAGACAGGCGGTTACCAGGTGCCGGTGGGCCCCATGTAGATGAAGCGGTAGTCATCCACGTCCAGGGCATCCCAGTACTCGTTGAGCCAGTCAGATGAGAAGTATATGGGCAGGGTGAACACGCCCTCCGCCGAGGAGTCCCTTTAGAAAGTGGCATGAAGCTACAGCAGAAGTGGCTATGAGCCAACCTCTCGGCACCCACGTCCTGAGTGCATGAAATATCATGAGAGCTTTGAAGTTATATGAATGACCCTGACCTGCCTTCTGGAGTCAGCACCAACCACCAGAAGTGGGGCCACCTCAGACCACCCAGCCATAGTCCAGCCACCAGATGACCACAGCCCCAAGCGGCCCTAGCTGATCCCTGCCCAAACGACTGAACCAGAGCTGTAAGCAGATGAAATGGCTTTGGGGGTGCTGTGACACAACCTAGACGACTTGTACAGGCAGTGACCTAGATGTTCCTGGCCACTCCCACACCCATTCCAGGATTTCAGCAAATGGCTGAGCTGGGGTTTAAATGCATCATCTGCATCATGCTGGTTTCCTGAATTTGGGGGCCTCCTCCACTTTTTTAACCACACCAGTGACCTTGATTCTGCTGAGCAGATTCAAAGCCACAGGCCCAGGCATGAGGACAGCCCAGGTACACGGAGGTCCTTTTCAACCCCTCACTCCCCTGGATCCATCCCCACAACCCAACCAATGGGCTCCCAAACAGAGGAGCATTCTAAACCAGCCCAAGGGAGAGTGCAGTTCTACCAACAACATAGTCACACAACACTCTCGGTCAGAGGCCATGACAGGGGAGAGCCTTAGTACCAAACCACCAGTAGTTCCCCAAAACACCATGCAGGTCCCTCCACTGCCATGCCTTTGTACAGTGACAGACTCCTGCTTATCGTTCAAAACCCTGCTCAGATATCACCTCCCCTGTGGCTACCCCTGCGTGCCTGATCCAGGCCTTCCTTTGTTCTTTTTATTTTTGGGTTGCCAAGGAAAACGCAAGACACTTCCTCAAGACTGAATTTCAAATAAACAGTGAACAAGTTTCTAGGATAAGTATGCCCCTTGTAATACCTGGGACATACTTATACCCAAAAAACTACTCGTTGCTTATCTGAAGCACAAATTCACAGTGCACGAGTGTCTGAATCTGAGTCCATCTGTGCTGTTGGAATATGAGTCCGTGACGTCTAGGACCAGAGTCCGGTTGCATCTTAGTGACTGCCTGCCGGGCCAGGTCTCTCTGACAAGTAAGAAGCTGTGTGGCAGATAGTACCAAGGGCAAACTTTGAGCAGGATGCTGGTGCCCTTCATGTACTCTTGGATTGCTCTTGGGAATCACAAGGGCCTGAATTTTTTTGTTGTTTTTTTTGAGTCTTAGTTCCTGCATCAGCAAAACAAGAATTCCACTGTTCACTCATTCATTAACTGAGCACCTGATCTGTGCCAGGGCCCTGTGCTAGATGGTGGGGGTCTGACTAGGACCTCCTCTCTGCTTGTGAAAAGCACACCCCTGGCAGGGGAAATGGCTACAAAACCTAAGGACCACCTCAGAGAGTGGGAAGGCCAGCGGAAGGGGTGGAGCTGCCTTCAAGAGCGAGGCGTTTCTCAGAGCACATCCTGTGAGCTCCCCAGGTGGAAGAAGCATGTGGTGAGTGGCAACAGATCTCAGAAGGCCTTGTTAAAGAGTTGGCATTGCTTGTTAGTGATGGGGATTTTAAATGGGTGGGGCACAGTCCTGCTGGAAAGCTCACTTGGACTTTAGCAGTGGGGTGCAGGACTTGAGGCGGGGCAGCTAGTCTGGAGACTGGCAACAGCCAAGGTGGATGATAACAGGCCTGACTTGGAGAAGTAGGTCTGGACAGGGGAGGCTGGTCCCAGGGGCATCTGAGAGGACAGGCAAAGGCTGGATCCTGCCAGTTAGATGGAGGTGAAGCTGACAAGCATGGTTCTGGGCAAATGTGACAAAGAAGAGGTGGGTAACCATAGCCCATCTGTGCCTCTGCCAGGCCCACATTCCTCATAGCAACCAAGCCTGTGCAGGCATGGTGAGATGGCCATGATTGGAGAGAATGACACTTCCAACCAGGCCGAGGAAAGCGGGTTAAATTCCGAACTGGGGAAAAGATGAGTTCCTCCGTGTGCAGCCAGGGCTCACTCAGAACTGAAAAGCAGTGCTGTGGCCAGTGCTCCAGGCTCCTTTACCTGCACAGATGCCAGTCTTTGAGATAGAGACAGCCCCGTGAAGAGGAGTAGTTTCCCTGAATGTACTCTTTCCAGTAGCTGATGTAGTCTCTGAGGGTCATGTGTTCTTTGGGGTTGGAGTTGTATTCCCGGACCCCACAATTTGCAACAGGTACAACCACGTCTCCTGAAAGGAAAGGGTCAGGGACAAGACTTTTCTGAGAGTCCTCCAGCCTGTCAATCCTCCCTGACCCTGTCCGCCCTCCAACTCATTGCTACACCGTCTCCAGGTGAATTCTTCTGGGGAGTGACTCATGCCTTGCCTCCCTCAAGCCCTCTGTGGCTGTCCTCATTTGCGCCCTCCCTCACAGTCCGACCTAAGAGTCTAGTCCTGTGTTTGCACTCCATGCTGTTCTTGCCCGGGGCACTCGCGCTCAGTCCTTACCATAGTTCTGAAGCAGGTAATCGAAGTTGGGCTTTCCGCTGGGTGTCACCCAGAGCCTCCTGCTGCCCCAGCCCTCGGTGAAGGCGCTGGAGAAAACACAGGGTAAGTTAGGGAGCAGGTAACCCTTGAAGAAGTCGGCGTAGGAAAAGGAGTCCGGCTTCTCGATGAAGTCCACGCGGTCCAGTTTCGGGCAGACCCTGCGGGGGAGACACCCCTCGAGGCCTCGGAAGTGGCTCTCGGCGAACACGCGCGCCTCCCTGTCCATCCCGGGCCAGGTTCGGCGTCCCTGGCGTGCGGGGTGCGTGGGGTGGGAGTCTGCCGGGGGGATCTGGAGGGCTGCCGGGAACAGGGCGGGGCTCGGGAGGCGGTGTCGGAGGAGCTGCCGGGCACAAGGACGGCTGCGGGGCGGTCACAGAGGCTGCGCGGAGTCGGAGGGGCTGCTGGGGACGGAGTGCTCCTGGAGGCCCAGAATCCGGCTTCCGGATTGTCACTTCTCTGCTCTTTAAACAGGGAGGTGAAAAAGGAAGTATTTGTTAAACCTACTTCCGGAGTACACGCTCTGAGCAACCCGCGGCTCACAGCCCCGCGCCGGCCAGAGCGAAAGCGGCGAGGTACAGACACTCATAGGCCGCGGTTGTCCCGGAGCACTCGAGCGGAACCTAGAGCCCGCGGTCTAAGTTCCTGCCCGAGCCTGAAACACGGCGAGCCAGTTCTTGGGCGCATGCTCGCTGCGTGCTACGGCCCTCACCCGGCGCAGGTACAGGAGCGGCCCACAGCACGGTCCTCCCAGCTCCGGGTCACCCGCCCCCCGCGGCTTCAGAGATTGTTGAACGGTGTCGGCCTCCAGTCTTGTCGACTTCTCGCCTCCCCCCGCGACTCAGGTAAGGCGTGTCTCCAGTGTGCAGCTGGGCCTGTGCTCTTCCGTCAGGGTCCCTCCTAACGCTACCGCCGAAGTGAGGACTCCTCCTCTTTCCAATGCTCCAAGGACTACGGGAGGTGGTGGGATGTGGGCTGGGCTAACAGAGAGGCACAAGGGCCAAAGGTGGGGTCTTGAGGGATGCTGAGTGTCTAAGGGGATGCTGGGGACCTGGAGGGGGTGCTGGGGGACTAGGGCGATGGTGGAGGCCTAGGGGGCTGATGGGGACTTGGAAGGAATGCTGTAATTTGCCGGTGATGGTGGGACCTGGTGGGGATGCTGGGAGACTAGGGAGGTGCTGAGGGCCTAGGGCGATGCTGGGGACCCGGAGGAAATGCTGTGGACTAGGAGAGGATGGTAGGACCTGAAGGGCATGATGGGGATCTGGAGGCATGCTGGGGGACTAGGGCGATGGTGGGGACCCGGAGGGGATGCTGGGGGAATTGGGTGGGTCTGAAGTGAAGGTGTGGGGGAATCAAGGGTGGGGATATGAGGCTGTGCACACCAGCAGACCTGAAATGGGGGACATCAAAGAGGAACTTGGGTGGGCGTGACACGTCAGGGTCTCAGCATGTTGGAGAAATAGGTGTCCTTCCTACCCATATCAATATGGAAAGGAAGAAAACAGTTTCATTACTGTATGAGCAGATTACATGCATGTAAGGCATCTTCAAGAGAGTACAGAGCTGGGCAGAATGTCACACATTTTATAGACAAGGAAGTAGAATGAACTGTTAAGACCTCTCTCATCTCCTTGAGGGAAAAATAGATGCACCTGTGTAGTCTGCGGCTGATGAGAGACTCCTGCCTCAGTTCTGGAGGTCCGCGTTTACTGCTCTGAGTCAGCAGGTGGTGACTGTGCCCTGTAAAATCTCAACACTGAGTTTGCTTCATTCCTGATGAAAGGAAACACTCAAAGGGCAGGGAAGGGGCAACTTCTTCCCCTTTGTTAAACAGTGAAGATGTAATCTTGTTTATTTACCCTTATAGATGGCATAAGTGAGATTCTGGGGATATGAGGGCTCGGAGCTTTGGAGCGGGGCTTGAGGGGGGACTCTTTCCAAGGGGTATGAAGCTTATGCAGAAGGTGAACAGCGAGGACCAGAAGTGGGGAAAGGCAGAGAAGGGGAGGACTAGGAAAAAGTGAGTTAGGGAGAGTCTGAAGTCCAGGTATAGGAGGGGTCTAAAGTGGGAGCTGAGAACATGGGCAAGATGTTGGAGTGGAGAGTTCGTTGCAAGCAGAGCAGTGTGAGGGGTTGTGTGATTCTGTGTGCACTGTGCTCCCTTCCCAGTCTGTCTCATTGTACCTCACATGGCCAAGCTGTGGAATTTTTCGTTGGGCCAGTGTTGGGCAGAAAGTTAGAATGCACTGGGAAGTTAAAATGGAGAAAAAGAGTCACCCTTAATTCCATCCAGAGATGAGCAGTTTTTGTTTCTTGATATAGAGTTATCCTTCCAGGCATGCACTCATTCATTCATTTTTTTTCTCTTTGTCCCTCCCTGTACACATACACATGCACACACACAAAGACACAGTCTCTCTTTCTATTTTATATGTATGTAAGTTTATATATGTAAGCTTTTGCTGCTTTTAACTTTTTAAAAAAGATTAACAGATGTCAATTTCTTGCCACATATTGACCAGATGTTCCTTAATTATTTGGTTTTAGTTGTGGTGAGTGCAGATCATGGAAGGCAAATAGAAAAAGTGGGGGAAGCAGAATGTTCATAATTGTCTAAAAAACTGGGAAATATGGCTCAAAGTTTGCCTCACAGGGGAAATATGAAATTCAGATAGACATTGCCTGGGAAGAATCCCAGGATTCCAGCTTCTGAAGCTCTGTGGTTGAGACTAAGTTTCATACGAAAGGGGACGCTTTAGGCCAGTAGGTCCACATGCTCCCCAGGATTGTTGGGGCAACTGAACCAGTAACTCAGGGTAGGGAAGAAGATCTTCTTTCTTGAGCATTTGCCCTGGGCCAGGCATTTTGTCCTGTATTTCCCCTAGTTCACATGATGGCTTGCTGGTGTTGACAGTATTATCACAACTGTACGCATGAGGCCCTGACATAACTAGTGAGAACAGGGGACTGGAACACAGGTCTGTGTCCCTCCCCAAGGCCACTAGACGGCAGCCCTGGCATCACCTGGGAACTGGTGGGAAATGCACATTCTTGGGCCCCACCCAGACCTGACTCAGAATCTGGGAGCAGGGTACTGCTCTAAGCCTTGTCACATCTCAGTGACACACCCCACAGAGGGCCAGAAAGAAAAATGGCAGGAGTGGAGTTTAAAAGTTAGCATTTTGTAGGAGATGCAGTGGGAATAACATAAAATCCTAGTTGTCTGCTCTGAGAGGTTAGAAAGATAGCGCGTACCATGTGAATAGGCTATGTTATTGCAATGAAACAAACACCCCCAAACCTCCCCGGTTGAAAGTGAGGGCCTCTGATGAGCAGGAGGTGAAGGTAATGGAAAAGACTGGCCACTGGTGCCTGGAGACACTGCTCCCAGTGTTCTGACTCTAAGCCTTCTTGTGGTCAGGAGTTATTGGATGGTGTATAAAATGTTGCTTGGTCTGTTACTTCGGAAATTAACTAAAAATAGGATGTTTACTTGATACTGAGTCTATTCCAGGACACAGGTCTGATGGAAGTGCTAAAAGAGATCCATTATACTAATTGCAGTGTGTTAATAAGTTCAGTCCCTGTGACCATTCATTTCTTCCCCAGGAGCATCACTGTGTGGATTAGTCTCAAAGACTCTTGAGGTACCTTGCCATGACCTCTTCTCCCTAATTCAGCAGGCATGTTGTGTTTTCACTGGAAGATGTGGGTTCCAGTTTACAGCAGGTGAGGACCAAATAAGGACTCTGTGAACTTCTCATAGAGTGAAGACCTAGTTCAGCAGATAGAGGGAAGAAAACTGTCCACAGTGGACACAGTTCATGTTTTCACATCATATGATTTGTGGTTCACTCAACACATATTTAATGGGTTCCTATGATGCACCAGCATTGTGCACAAGGCACCCTCCTTGTAATGTTTGCCTTCTCCATTGTTTTGACTGAGTTGGTCAACATATAAGCACATTCACAGGCTTTTTGGAATTATGGTGAGTACTGTGGTTGGTGAGTGCTGTGGTTGGTGAAGGGGCAAGGATGCCACTGGAGCAGAGACCTGGAGAGTGAGGTAGAGTTGGCCGTTCAGAGTCCCAGGAGTAGCAGGTGGGGAGCCTGAGACAGGAACAGAGCAGAGCAGAGAGAGGGTACGGGCTGGGCGGTGAGGCTGTATTTAGTAAAGCCTACATGACTTGGGTGGTGACTTTGGACTTTACTCGAGGTACATGGGGAAGAGTTTCAGCAGAAGAATGATATTTTCTAATTTTGTTTTATGACTGTCACATTGGCTGCTGGCTAGAGAACGGATAGTGGGAGGCAGAGTGAAACAACGAGGTCAGGTGGGAAGTTGTCCAGGAGAGTAATGACAGTGTTGCATAGTCGTGTGGCTGTGGGGATGGTGGGTGGTGCAGACAGCAGATGTGAGATACAACTGCCAAAACTTGCTGACAGATTGAGAGGGATGAGGAAGAGGGGATCCAGGAGAACTCACCTGGCAGTGCCTTCACTGAAATGCAGGAACAGAAGGAGGGGCTTGCTAAATTGCAGATGCCTGTTAGATGGTTAAGTGGAGATGCCCAGGCAATACTCAAGTCTCAGAGAGTCTGGGCTGGAGAGGAAAGTTTGGCAGGCCAGACAACAGCTGGAAGGTGATATTTAATGCCATGAAACTGTGTTGACTCACTTAGAGAGTATTGATTAAGAGGACCAAGGTTGTGACCTGGTCATTCCAACATTTAGCAGTCAGGTGGAAGAGGAAGAATCAGCAGAGGAGACTGAAGACAGGCCCCAGGGGGTGGGAGACCAGGGGAGCATGGTATCCAGGAAACCAAGACGTGATGTGTCTCAGGAGATGGGCAGGTGTGTTGGACAGAGGTTAGAACAGATATGGGCATTGGATTTGGCCACCTGGAGGCCTGGACAGAGAAGTGTCAGTGAGTGGCGGGGACAGGAGCCTGTCTGGAGGGGGAGATTCCTGGCTGGTGGCTGGGGGGCAAGCACAGGGAAGCATTTGGAGTCTCTTGGAGGAGCAGTAAGTGGGGAGGACTGCGGGGATGTGGGGAGGGTGTCTGTTTTAAGATGGTCTTAGAGCGTGAGTGTAAACTGATGAGATGATCTAGGACGGGTTGGTAAACTATGGCCCATGGGCCGAATCTGGCTGCCACCTGTTTTATAAGTGAAGTTTTATTGGAACAGTCACACCCCTTTGTTTCTGTATTGTCCCTGGCTG